CTGCACCGCCGGGGCCGCGCCGCAGCGCACCGCGCAGGCGCTGCTCAACCACGGCGCCCCCGCAGTGTGGCCCGACGCCTTCCCCAAGGTAAGGCGCGCACGCTGCGCTGGCGGCACCGGGAGCGTCCCCGGGACCTGCCGTGCGTGCTGTGCGTCCGGACTGCGGTGGCCTGGGCAGCCGTGGGAGGGTCTGCTCGGGGCGGGGGGTTCGAGGCCGTGGGCCTTGTGTCCCCGCTTTGAGAAGCAGAGGTTTAGAAGTCTCCCAGTGGCCAGACTGGAAAGTGAAGAGGTGGCACAGTGGTTAAGCATTCGGAATGTCACCTTTCAGAGCAGTCACCTGGGGACGCCAGGCGCTTTCCTTGGTGGCGTCTTCACAGCTCGGAGCATTTTGGCAGCTTGTCCTTTGGTGTAATTTTCAGAAAGATGAAAATGAGCCTCTCGACACAGCTGGCGTTAGATCCGCAATGAACTCGCGAGCCCGCTCAGCGCCTTATTAATGAGCAAACTAAGTTTTCAAATCTCCCACCACACTGCAGGGAAATTAAAGGCCACTACTGATGTGCCCAGGCTGGGTCTCCCCTGTACTGAGACCTCAACCCCTTACTCCTGCAAACTTTGCTGAGAGCACCTCTCCACTCATCGTGTTATCCATCTAAAATACTCATGAGGAAGACCCAAAGTGCTGCCAAAATAAAGTCCCTACGCAAATATGAACAAGGAAAACATGTAAGAAAATCACTAAAATTAACAAGAATGTCCAGGGTCACGGGACCTGGCACAGTCAGTAAAGTGCTTGCAACCCAACCATGAGAACCTGAGTTTGGCTCCTCAGTACCATGTACAAAGCCCAGCACCGGGGCAGATCCAGCCAGTCAGCCAGCCTAGCCATCCAGCCCCAGGTCCCAGTGAGAAATCAAGTCCCGAAAAACAAGATAGACAGCTCCTGGGGAGTGACACCCAAGGTTGATCTCCAGCTTCCAAAGCACATACACACACACCTACGCCTATAAACAAATAAATACACAAATAAATAAATCTCAAGGGTCAGTTAGCCTAGCCTGCGCATCAAGCTAGGATCTGCCTCAAACCAGGTGAAAGGGGAAAACAGATACTCAAGGTGATCCTGATTTCCACATGCGCACCATGGCATACACATGCCAGCACACACATACATACACCACACACACACACACACACACACACACACACACACATACTCCACACACACACACACACACACACACACACACAAATACACGATATTTTTGCTAAATTTCTTTTAGATTTTATTTTTTTGCATTATGTGTGTGTACTGTGTGTGGTGGTACACACCTTTAATCCCAGCACTCAGGAGGGAAAGGCAGTCGAATCTCTGTGAGATCAAGGCCACCCTGGTCTACATAGTGAGTTCCAGGTCAGCTGGGGCTACAGGGAGACCCTGTCTCAAAAACAAACAAAAAATTATGTGTGGGTGCACATGAGTATAGGCACCCACAGAGGCCAGAAGAGGGGATCAGATCCCCTGAAGCTAGGATTAAGGGCAGTTGTGAGCCTCCTGGCATGGGTGCTAGAAACCAAACTTGGGGCCTCTACAAGAGCACAAAGCATTCTTAACCACTGAGCCATCTCTCCAGCCCCCACAGTTTTCTGTTTGGGTGGGATTTTCTTGAGACAGTCTCATTATGCAGCCCTAACTAGCCTGGAGCTCACTATGTAGAATAAGCTAGCCTCCAACTCACAGAGAGTCATCTACCTCTGCCTTTGGAGTGCTGGGACTAAAGGTATGCACCACCACATCTGGCCTGCCCCCACTTTTTAAAAAACATTTTAACATCTGGGTCTGGGAGATAGCTTAGTTGGTAAAGTGCTTGCTGTGCAAACATGAAGACCTGAGTTCAGTCCCCAGCACTCACATAAAAAGCCAGGCACAGCGACAAACACCTGAAATCCCAGTGCTGAGGGGGCAGAAACAGAAGGGTCCCTGGAATTTGCTGACAGCCAGCCTGGCCAAGCAGTGAGCTGGGTTCGATTCCCAGGAACCACTTGGCAGCTAACAACCGTGCCTAACTACAGTTCCAGGGGATCCAACGCCCTCTTCTGACCTCCAAGGGCATTGCGTGACATGGATGCACTTACACACATGCAGGCAATACACTCATACACATACAATAAAAATACATTAAATTTTTTTAAAAAATAAGGAGAACAACTGGGGACTGACACCCAACATCAACCTCTGGCCTTCACACATGCACACACATGCACACCCATGAACACAAGCACACACATACAAAAAGTGTTTCCACTGTATTGGCCAGAACAAAAGAATGTGTTACCCAAAAGACTTCATTGAAGGTAGTTGTTCCATTGCTTGCAAAGTTTTGATTTGTTTAAATTAGAAAATTGCCCCCATCTCCCAGGATACATCAGCCATAGGCAATATAATATATATACACATATTGCCGGGCGTGGTGGCTCACACCCTTAATCCCAGCACTCGGGAGGCAGAGGCAGGCAGATCTCTGTGAGTTCAAGGCCAACCTGGTCTACATAGTGAGTTCCAGGTCCGTTGGGGCAACAGGGAGACCCTGTCTCAAAAATTAAAAAAGGCATATAAACATATTACGGCATATGAATATATATTTGTGCCCGATGAGTTTGGACAAATATCTGGGAAACTATTATCCAAAGGTTATCCAAAGGAACAGTGATGTAGATGCTCTTTTTAAAAGCTTTTAAGTGTTTTATTTATTATTTTTATATTTATTATGTTATTGCCTGCATGTATGTGAGTGCACCGTTATCACACAATGCCCATGAAGATCAGAAGAGGGGCATTGAATGCCCTGAAACTGGAGTTACAGATGGTTGTTAGCTTGAATATGGGTGCTGGGATCTGAACCCGGGTCCTTTGCAAGAGTAGCTGGTGCTATTAACCTCTGAGCCATCTCTCTAGCCCATAGATGCTCTTAAATGGTGAGATGCGCACATTTCTCTCAAATGCTGATTTTGCATCACGGGTGCATTTAGTGAAGAGTGTGGCCAAGGACAGCCAAGCGCAGACTGGAAACGCCACTGGGTAATTCCCCAAGTGTCTCTTCACCAGACGAACATGCTGACTCTTTTCAGACGATGTCCCCGGAGTCATACCACCATGGTGATCTCAGGCCACAGGTTTCAGTGTGATGGCTCTCAGAAACACTAGCGTTCTCGTGTCCCAGAACACCTTCACATCCCAGCACTCCGGTTCTCAACAGACCTGTGATGGGGAAACAAGACTCAGGGCCCTTCCGGTTCACATCCTACCTTCATTAGGCCAAGAAGCACAAGCCAGTCATTATCATGTGGAACCACACGGAGAACGAAGTGGAACTGACTTGTGTGACTGGCCATGATGGAAAATAGGTGGGGCTGATTTCGTCTAAGGAAAACATAGGGGTCTGGCGGGATGATTCAATGGCTAAAGGTGCTTGATGCCAAAGCCTAGAGAACTGAGTTGGAGCCCCAGGACTTTGCATAATGAAAAGAGAACTGACTCCACACGTTGTTATCTGACCTCTGCATCTGAGCTATGGCACATGCACACACACACACACACACACACACGCACACACACACATGCACACTCACACACTAAATAATAAATAAATAAATGTAACTATTTTTTTAAATGACTTACCATGCCTCAGTAGTGGCTAGAAATAGCCCTTTATTAACCTTGACATCATTTCAGTCGTTGGAGTTTGAAGGGCAACCCCGCAGCCCAGACCCTGGGGACAGGGCTCCTAGGTCAGAGATATCTCTGGCACAGCAAGCATCCTGCCTTGACCTAGCCATGGAGCACATGGCTCGGAGCGCCCCCGCACAGCTTCAGAGGCCTCAGTGCCTTGCAAGCCCTATTGATGGGGGTGTGGCCAGAGGTTCATCTCATCGTGCGTGGTGGAGGATGAGTTTGGGTGAGCTGGACTATGCGTGGCTGCAGGGCCGTAAGAAGCATTTGACCCCTGGCAATAAGAAGTATCTGTGATCAATTCCACTGTGGAAGGAATTGGACAATTCTTTCAAAATCTCAGTACCGAAAAGCATTGTCTGCCCTGCACTTCACACAGCATGGGTACATACAGATCTTCAATCAAGGTTTGCTGCATGAAGGGAAGGGATTCTTGCAGCTCAGGTACACAAGCCTGCATCTGACGTCTTTGCATCAACACCCATGTGCCTCTAGGGGGAATACCCACATCCCAGCATCCCAGAACAGTCAGCGGATGGGATACATTTAACTACCCTGAAGCTAGATGTGCCTGTGATGATCTGGCCTTGCGTGGGGACAGGCAGACAAAACTCAGGGAGAAGGGCGGCATCAAGCTCCTCCACCCAGGCTCCCTACCAGTTGCACCGGGAAGGGATCTGATCACCATGTGGGACATCAAAGGGACAGACCTGACTGGGCTTAACAGTCCCATAGGGCACACAGCAAGCATACTCAAACCCACCGCAAAGATGCTCCGTGGCCAAGATACAGGCACCATGGAGAGGCGAACACCGAGCCTCTGGGAATGTCACAGAGCTCCACACCAGTGGGCAGCAGGCATACTTTAAATAGATGTAAGGAGACACCCGTGGAGCTCAGAATTACTGAGGCAAAAGGCTTCACAGCGAGCTTGTGACATAAATCACAGTTCCCGATGCCCAGACAAAAGCGCCATCAGCACGGCAGGCAGACAGGACGCATCCATCCGAGCTGTGCTGCACTGAGCTGCTATGAAAATCAAGGGTACCAGGGCTTCGGAGTCAGCTTGTCTAGGATGCTAGGCCTTTCTGCCCTGCCAACCACTAGTTCACGCCAAAGGCAGAGGTGTGGGCAGGGCAGGGGCGCAGGTAGGGGCAGGCAACCCAGGTTCAATTTTGGACAATAAAACAGGACCAGGGTTAGGGCCAGGGCTCCGGAGCAGAGATACATGAATGTGAACCCCACTGTGTTTGACATATGCCATACCTTGTAAGCTGCAGCCATGATCTGGGATAAGGGTTTGCTGAGTTTCTCCTCCAATTCATGACTCAGTAGTAAAGCCCATCTCCCTTTCTTTT